GCGTCAGGCTCGCGATGAGAGCATCCTGGCTCATTTATATGGGATGATGGATTTGCAGTTGAGGATTGGGGGTAGGCCTACTACTTCAAAGGAGAGGACTCAGTTGACTGAGCGGTTCCCACTCACCACATCGGCACAACGATTGGTAGGTTTAGCTGCGGGTCAGGGGGTGCCACCGGAAGAAGATATCAAAACTCCAGAGCATTCGGTACAGGGTGACGAGGAGCAAGTTGATCCAGCAGTTGAGCTAGCGGTTGATGCCACTGGTGAGGATCTGGGTGATGATGTTGATTATTGGGATGAGGCTGACCGGGCCTTCTTCGATGAGGGCCATCGTCTTGAGGATTGATCAGGGAGTTCTTATTCACCCTTTCTACTTTAATTATGCATTGGGGACACTGCATGTTTTAAGTGTGGGGTGGGTAACTCTCATTGTGCATGGTAGGAATATATTAGTAACCATATTAGCTTCTTATATTTTTAATTTTTAGCTTCTTATATTTTTAATTTCTAGCTTCTTATTTTCTTTATTGTTAGCTTCTTGTTTTATTATTTTAGGATACTCTAGAATAGTATTGAGTAGTGTAGTAGTTTTTATTTTATTTTATTTATTTTTTTAAAAAAAATTAAAAAACAATAAAACAGGAAAACAGAAAAACAGAAAAAAATAGACTTTTCCCAACGATAGATCTCCTAGACAGTTTTCTTGAGGGATTTAAGTCTAAACAAAAAAAATACAAAAACATGTCTTTTTTTATTTTTTCTTAGGTAGTAATAATCCCTCGTAGTTTTTCTTTGTGCCTTAGTTCTTTTCTATGGGATGTAACTTGAATCGAGTAGTAGTTATTTTTTTAGAGTAGTATGTAGGAAATAAAGGAGAAGAAATGATGTGATTCACACCTTTTGACTTGTTTGATGGTTGCATACTTAGGTTCTGGCATATGTTTCACCTTCCCTTGATTTTAAATATATGATGATGCCTTGGTAAAAATGAATAGCATGTGTTATGACTCTTTTGTCTCGTTTGCTTGACTTGTGTTCACTTTGTGCTTTATGCTTAATATATCTCTTGTCTTTATGAATACTTGTTTGATTGGGAGTCCGAATGAAACCGTCCTTAGGGAGTCATGTGCCATGTGTGAAGTGAGTTCTTTGCATATTCGCCCCTCTTTTTATTTATTCTTTTATTTTTTTCTGAAATTGAGTCAAAAAACAAAAAATATTCGAGTTAGTTATAAATTATGAACTAATGTCTATGTTATTGCCATTGAGTCTAGAACTTACCCGAAATGTGAATTGAATCAAAATCCTAAGTGTTGCTCGGTTTGAATAGTGATGTTAGGCTTTCTTTGATCTTTTTGAGTTTTGTTGTCTATCACAAATAAAATCATCCCTAGTTACCCTTTTGAGCCTATTAGCCTTTCTTTTGGCACCCGCATTACAAGCCTATCCCATTTTATTCTTAATTGAATTATTTTGATCCGTAGACCTCTTAAAGCACTTGAATTGCAAAGAGAGCGCTAAAAAGAAGTAATGAGGAAATTTGGGGTAGCTTTTGAGTGGAACCAATTAAAGGAAGAAATGTGCACTTGTGCTTTAAATAAAATCCACTAGCGGCAAGGCAAAAATACAAAAGAGAAAAAAAAATAAAGAAAAAAAGAGAAGAATAATTGAATAAATAAAGGTTTCGTATTTTTGCTAGTGGATGTGCTATGAAGTAGTGTGTAAAGAAGAAGGAAAAATATTTTGGGGTGAGCTATCTTGTGATGATTGAAGTGGATTAAAGGAATTGCGCTTAAAAATTGGATACGTGATGTGTTAAAGTGTTTAGGAGGGTTAGCCACTATATTCCAAATATATCCTACCCATCTCTTATCCCACATTACAACCATAATAAAGTCCTAGTTGATTTTGGACCGAGCGGGCCTATAGAGATTTACATAATGGGCAAGCCTATGGTACTTTTTGCGTGCATGTGACTTCTTTGAGAGAGTGAGTGATTTTTTTCATGTGTGAGTCCTTAAAATATATTCGATCATGTGATTTGGGTGTGTGGACTGCTTACTCTTTATTTTATTATAAGGGCACATGGTTTCACATAGGATAGGTAACGTTATTAGACCTCTTTGTTAGATTAAGTATTCAAGCCTCGGGTGCATTGCGACATTGAATTAGTTTCGAAGCTATGATTGCTATAATCATGTTGTTCCTGTATTGGATGTTTTGAAATTGGGCATAAGTATGGGAAGTGTATTTTGACAGCATATGCTAGTGCTTAATTGTTGCTATCAACCATGGTCATAGGTGTAGTGTGTTGTAAATGTGTAGGTTGTTAGGTCCTTGAAGAGGAAGTGTTTAGTTGGTTGACTCGAGGGCGAGCAACATTTAAATGTGGGGTGTTGATGTCGTGCGATAATTCCATATATTTTTGACATTATTTACCCTACTTGCTTACTGTTTGGATGCTAATTTGTGCGATAATTGCGCTTAATAGAGCTTATTTTAGGTGTAGGAATGCTTGAACATGAATTGAAGAAAAGTTGCACGAAATAGTACCTCAGAGCTACAAAATGGAGCAATAAAAGAAGACGTGCAAGGCAATGAAAAGTCATGGCCATAGACAGTGCAAGGCATTATCCAGGGCACTGTCATTGGCGCCCCAGACAGTGCCCCGCGCAGAAACAATGGCGCCATAGATAGTACCTCGCGCAGAAATATTAGTGCCCCAGACAGTGCCTCGCGCCGACGATGCCATCCGAGCAAATTTTAATTCCTCACTAGTTTTTGACATGTAGACTTCGGCCCCTACACTATAAATACCTCTTAAAGTTAGTTTTTGAAGAGTTAGACATCATTAGAGAGGCAAGAGGCTACGAAATACTTTGGAAGCACGAATCACTCGAGTTTTTCTCTTCGCTTTCCTTTTATTTGTAGTTTAATGCTCTTAGATATTACTATGATTATCTACCCACTTATGAGTAGCTAAACCTGTCATCTAGGGTTGATGGAACCAATTATTGAATGAATTCTTGATTGTGTTTTGATATAATTGAGCCGTTATTACTCTTTAATTGTTCAACTATGTGTTTCTTGTGATTAATTGAAGGGCCCTTGATTAATCGTGTCTAGTTATCTTGTGTTGCTTGAGAAAGAACACTTGATTAGATTGTTGTTGAACAACGCCACTTTCGAGTAAGTTAAGAGATTAATTACTTGAATTTAAAAGAGGGATTAGAGATAATAAAGCTTTGGCGAGATATTTATGAGTTGTATAAATTGTCAACTAGAGTAGTTTGAGAGAATACTTCTAGTAAATTATCGTAATTGATTGAGAGATAATTGCGGTAAGTAAGAACTCATCATCTTTAGAGAATATTGCGGCGAGATTATAGCTAACGTGTCAGGAATTAATCCGACAATTGGGAAAATCATAAATCCTAGATATTTTTATCCTTGATTCAACCTCATTCTTGCTAATTGATAGTTTTTATTGTCATTTTTCCTTAGTTAAGTAATTTATGTTAATTCACAAATCAATTCTTGAACTCTGAAAGTTATTTGAACTTATCATTAGTGATACTCAAAAGTTGTAGCAAATAGGTTAGTTCTCTGTGAGATTCGACTCCAGACTCTTGAATCGGATTATTTTTGCAGCCATCGCTTAATCCTTTTTATAAGGCATATTTGAGCGTGATTAAAAGTGAATGTGATTCTGATAATGTTATATGAATGGGAAATCTCTTACAAGTTTCTCTTCTTTTTATGGTTAATATAGCAGACTGTTACTCCAATGTGAAATCAATCGCATTCCATTTTTCTATTTTTCTATAAATTTTTATTAGCGTTGAAAGTGACATTTTCAGAACTTCAATGCCGTTCTAGATATATATCCAGATTAGGATGGTTTCCCGGAATCCTTTTTGCAGCTGATGGGGTACGTAGGGTTATAACAAGGAAAATATATGTAACTTAATTATAAATACCTTCTCCTCGATTCATTAAAATTTGACACAATTTAAAATTCTCCAAGAGAAATGGGCTCTCTTCTGTATTTGTGATTTCAAAATCTTTTCCTCATCGATCGACCAGTCTATCTTTTTGAATCGTCCTTTTCCCTTGTGCCACATTTAGTATTCACGATAACAAAAAGGCAGCAAATTAATCATTACAAAAACGATGGGAACTGTAGTTAGGAACGGCCATTACTACAGTATATTCATGGTTATGAGTCTTGTGACCGCCGGCATTCTTCATGATCAGCTAGCTTCAGCTCAGAATATTTCATATTTCGTTGTAAGTATACAATGATCTTTTCCTCAAAATTCTTTTCTGTGTTGTTTAGTACTACTAACTAAATGACTCTTGCATGCATGCATGTCACTTGGCATGCAGGTTGAGGAAGCTTCTTTCACGAGGCTCTGCGAAACAAAGAATATTCTCACCGTTAATGGAAAATTTCCGGCACCCACGAACACGATATATGCTCACGCACAGTGGCGAAGCCAGTAAATTCAATAAGGGTGTTCAAACCTTTGCCAGTAGGTTATGTAAGGGTGTTCAAAGTCTATTTTTAATCAATAACAAGTAATATTTTACCTGTATAATTTTCCGGCAACTTGGAGGAACGTAGCTTCGCCCCTGCTCACGCAGGAGAAACGCTGGTTGTGGATTTCGAAAGCAAAGAAAATGACAACCTTACGATCTTCTGGTATATATATATTACTCCATCACACTTCTTCTAATTTATTCTGTCTTACTGTTTTTTTTGTTTGTCTTAGCACATTATAATACTCATACTAGTATATATCTTCTAACTCAAAATTTCATCTGTTGTTGTTCCAAATTAAAATAAAGTTGCAGGCGTGAGGGAAGATACTTGAGGTCAGATCAGAGGCATGAAAGACAATTAATATGGTTAATCCAACCAGGGACAATTAAAAGTACGCCAAAACATCACAATATCTGACCATGACGACGAAGGGACACTATGGTGGCATGCCATGAATTTCTGGAAAAGCGCCACAGTTCATGGTGCAATTGTTGTATATCCCATGCCTGGAATTTCTTATCCTTTTCCCAAGCCTCATGCTGATATTCCTATCATTTTAGGTACATTTCCCAGTAAATGGTTTAGTTTCTCTCAAATTTTAACATATATACTTTAATTTATTTGTTTGATTCACACAGATGAATGGTGGAAAAAGGATCTCAGGGAGGTTGTACTTGAATATATTGCATCAGGCAGCAATATCATGCATTCTGATGCTTTCACTATAAACGGTCAGCTTGGAGATTTTTACCCTTGCTCTAATAATGGTAGGAACCCAACTGCTAAATTTCTTTATATTAAAGCTAAATTAACTTTTGCTTCCCTTATATGGACATAGGAACTTTCAAGATAGCAGTGGAGACAGGAAAGACGTATCTCCTGAGGATTGTGAACGCAGCAGTGGGCAAAACTCTTGTCTTTGAAATCGCGATGCACAATCTAACAGTAGTTGCAATGGACGGGCGCCCTGTAAAAAATCCATTTACAAGTGACTATGTCGAGTTAAGTGTACAACAATCGTTCGACTGCATCTTGGAGACGAACCAGCAGCCAGATCATTATTACATGGCTGCCAGAGAATATGTCAATGGCCTTATCTGGCAGACGGTTGATAATACAACTACTACAACCGCCATCTTAGAATACAGGGGAAATTATGTACCATCTTCACCTCCTTTTCTACCTTTTCTTCCAAATTCTAACTATGATACATCTTTGATTCACGACAAAATCAGCTCCACGTCTAAGTTATACTTAGCAATTATATTTTTAATTTTGGGTTTAGCTTCCTATGCATCCTTAGCTGTTTGGTACAGGCGGCATAGATGCGTAGTAACCGCAGTTGTCACTCCCCAAGCCGAGATATAAATTGTACTACGTAGTAGTTATTTGTTTGTCAATGAAAAATAAAAAAGAATAGTTTTTGTTTTATATATATATATATATATATATATATATGAGAATCTAATTGATCAATTGCTTTGTTTTTTTTTACCCTTGGCTCAGACAATGCTGGACAGAAGTCAATTACAAACTTAAAAAACCATTTATATACATCAAGCTAATTAAATTACGAATTAAATTCTCTTTTAAATTCAATTAATAAATTTTGAATGGGTTATATAAAAGGGCTTTTACTTGTTCTGATGAAGTTAGTGGAAGCGTTAATATGTTAGAAATTAAAGTTAGAGGAAGTTAGTTACAAGTGCTCATCTATGAGCAGCGTGTAAGTAAAGGCATTTGTAATAAATCATACTCAACTGAAGTTATAGATTTGAGTTTCCATAGTATAATTCAGCTAAAATTCAGAGTGGGACCCGTTAGGGAGGAAGGAATAGTGAAAGAGCAAGGAAAAGGTCAAAGATCCACTAAGGGTGTGTTTGGTATGACGATAAAATATTTTCTCATTTTTTACTTTTTGGTTGCACAAAATAGTTTGGAAAATATTTTCCTAGATATCACATTTTCCTGAAATTGGAGGAAAATGACTTTCCTAGAAAAAGTTATGAAAATATTTTCCAAAAACTCCACCTACTCTCACACCTAACCCCAACCTCTTCCCTCATCTCTCCCAACCCCTCTCCAAAAAGTTTTTTTTTTATTATTATTTTTTTCAAATTTCAGCCCAAAAAAAAAATTATTTTTTTACTCTTCTTTTTTTGTATTTTCAATTTTTAATTTTTACTGGTTTTTTTATTTTTCAGTTTACAAGTTTATAATTTTACGAGTTCCAAATTTATGAGCTCGCAGGTTTAAGTGTTTGGAAGTTTGCGGGTTTAAAAATTATAGAGTTTACGGGTTCGAAAGTTTAGAGGTTCGGAAGTTTATGAAATTGTGAGTTCGGAAGGTTGTTGGTTCGAAAGTTTATGGTTTCATGTTTATTGTATCTAAATTATTTATGAATACTCTTGAGAAGTTATTTTCCTTAATTTGCATACCAAACGCCGAAAAATGAGTAAGATTACTACTTGTTTTTCAAGAAAATATTTTTCGTTATACCAAACACACCCTAAGTATTATTTGTCGGGACTTATATATAACCATTCATCAGTTGGACCAAGCAAAGCGCAGTACACAAATACCCCTCAAAGTAGATGGTATTGAATTTTTGTTCCCGCTTACGGTATGGCAGAATTTTAAGTTTAACAAGTGTTGCCCCTCGCTTATCCCATAGACAATACTTTTAACTTTTGATCTTGAAATTCTGCCGATGGAACAAGAGATGGTCAAGAATTGAAGATCACCCCAAAATGGGTTATACTTCTGCAATGTTTTGGTATCTTTGCCCCCTGGTTCCCGAGGGTAACTCTTGAATTTGCCATTAATTGTCGACTTGGACCTGTACCCTTAGGCCCAAATATTCTTCTTCCTACAAAACCATATTCAAACTAGTTGGACCCTCTTCATTATTATGATAGTTTAAAGTCGGCCGAAATGCCATCTTTAATCGTTTTTCAGCAATCCAAACATTATCCAGTAGTTACGAATTAATTAGGCTAAATTAGTACTGCATGAAAATAGGAGTAGCTGAGAATTTACCTGTTTGGGCCGAGGAATCTTGGGTTTCCTACTTTTTAACGTTGTTGTGCAAAAACTTCTGAAATTTTGAATTGACTTGGAAGGAAAAGGTACAGAGATTCAAAATCAGGAGTATATAAAGCCATCCCTTTTAAGGGAGAAATGTATATTATTAAAATCAAGTCAACTGAGAACAATAACATTAACTCAATTGAGCTTACAATTGTGAAAATCAAGTGACAAATACTTTGAGCTAATTATCCAGCCTACCTGTCCACATATTCAAGATTGTTTCATTACTCGTTATTTTTCTCCCGTACTATTAGTGCCTAGTGGTAGTAAAAATATTCTAACTTCTTTCTATGGGCGGATTCAGGATTTGAAAACAACGGGTGTCATATTTTTTAAATGTACACTTTGAACTGATCATAGAATTTGAGTGGGAATATGTCGGTTTAATTTGTTTAAATTTACTCGTTTCGGTTTAATATATAGTATAAGTTTTTTATTGAAAAATATGAAAATTATATCAACGAAAAAATATTCTCAACAGAAAATAACACCTTCGCTGTCAATAAAACAACATTTCCAATAGGAGATTCACAATCCTAAAGTACTTCCTCTCAAAAGTTAATTTAATTACACAAGAAAATTTACTACATTTTCAATAAGGGATTCACTCCCTTTATATTAAAATAAATTTTCACAAGTAAAAAGTTATTTTCTATAGGGAAATCAAACCAATTGAATAGAAGTATGAGCAAAAAAAAAAAAATTCTAGAGGAAAATTACAGTCGAAGAACAAAAAATAGCATTTTCTATGACAAAAACACCCTGTAGAGCTGTTTGCTTATAAATTGTGATAAAATTTTTATAAGCATTAGCAGAGAGAAAACATGAATTTTCTATTATTATTTTGAGATTTACATTGATCTAGTTCTACATTTATATATGGTGTACTTAAATCAAATTTGATGTAAAGAATAATATTTGCATAGATAAGTATTTTGAGATAGGCGTACTAATGATGCGAATGCATTGTTCCTATTGTGTTGTATTTCAATCAATTGTCAAGGTACGTAGATTAAATCTAGCACTTAGATAAAAAAAAGTACAAGATTACTCTCTCCAAGATGCTTTTTTTTTTCTTGAATGATTTATACACAAAATTAGCTTGAACAACCATAAAGAATCATAATATTTCATGATATAATAAACCAAAAAAGAAAATAAAAATTTAGTTTGACCTCAATTTGGAATCGCCAATGAAACAGAAAGTTAATCAAACTTGTAAGAAGGAACTCGCAAATTTGAGGTTAAGAGCCATGACTTTATGAAATTCTAAAAATTTCTTATTCCTGTGTTTTTTTTTGGTTTCCCATCCGGTGTTCAGTACCCACATTGAAGCCCGATTATATCCGGATTCGCACTGCGTAGGGTCCCATTCGAGGGGAAGCGCTCCCTACCAAAGATTTTTCCATACCTAAGGCTCGAACCCGAGACCTCTGGTTAAGGGAAGAGCAGTCATATCCACTGCACCACATCCTTTGATGGTTTATTCCTATGTTCTTACTCCCACGTAAGAGATAAAAAGAAATAGAATAGAGAAGGTAAAGAAACAATAAAAAGAATAAATAAAAAGGAAAAGAAGAATAACAAAAGAAAGAAAGTAAAAGAAAATGAAGCTAGCTGGGCAAACCAATAATATTTAGTGACTCAAACTAGATTCGAACCTTGGACCTCACAGACGGAAATATTTGACAATCGTGTTTTCATCAAGTGGCAAACCCTAATATTTAGTTTATTTTTGAAAATTTTAACACACGTAACTAAACTTTTGGCCAAGCTGGTGAATGCCATGCCACCCCACCCATAAAGGTGGATCCGCCCATGCTTTTGTGTTGTCAAGTGAGAACAAGTGTACTGTGTACGCGCACATATTGTTTGTTGGCGGTGAGCAAGTGTAAAATTATTACTTATATATATATATATATATATATATATTGTGGTGAGCGTGTTCGAAATGTTAAATCCGTGGCGCTCGTGTGAAAACTACTCAGTGTTTAGATGGTTATTATGTATCATTTTATAATGTATCGTATAGTATTATATTATACTGTATCGTTTTGATGTATATAATATTTGGATAAATTGTATTATTTGCCGTCATTTCATTATGTCATGCACCAACAATATAAAAAATAAACTTGCAATATTATTAAAAAAAAAAAGGTACGAGATATAATTATCTTATTAAAAAATAGGGTAAAAGATAAAAATATGATTATTTAATCATAAGGAAGGACAAGATGAGAGGAAAAAGAAAATAAGGAAACGATGCGACCACACCAAATCGGTTGTTCCATAATGTGACACTTTTCGTCATTACGTAACGATGAATTTAGCGATACGATACAATAATATTTAAGTAACAATTAAAATAAATATTGTATTTAAAGTAACAATATGATACAACACAATAAATAACAACCATCCAAACAAGCTGTTAAGAGTCTAGGGGATTGGACGTAGGCCATTGGTTTGGGTCGAACTAGGATAAATCTTGAAATTTTCACCGATTATTCCTTTTCTATTAGTTATTTGGTTGAGAGATTTTTACTTATCTATACTACTTTTGAAACTTATTTACCTTCACTATTGAAGTTTAACTTAATTACAAGTTGATATATAATTTACCAATTTTATACAAATTAGTATTAAACGAGTATCCCTTTATATTAAGAATTGAATAGGGAATATCAGTTTTTCCCTATTCGTCTCTCTCTCTCTCCTTCTCTGTTCTTTCCCCAACCCTATTTTTTTTCCTTCGATTTTCTTTGTTTTTCTCTCTTTTCTCATCTACTTTATCCTTTTTTCCCCAGAGAATTCATTAATGGATTTCAATCGTTTTATTATAGAGTTTTAACTTAGCAATTTTCTTTCATGTTATACAATTGGTGTTCAAATTGAAATTGCCAATCAATAAATTTTGAAGGTATTTGATTCTCCACCATTGACATCCATTAAAAAGTTTTGAAGCTTTGAATTCGAATTTGAATTTTAAAAAAAATATTATTTGTTTGGATTGGATGTTGTTGAAAATGATTGGTAATATTAGAGTTAGTTTTGGCTAGATTTCAGATTGAAAGTCGCCGAAGAAGAAGAAGAACATATGACATACAATATACATATAAAATTTTATTAAAACTTTATTAAAGTTGTATTTTAGTTGCATGTAAATTGTATTGACGTTGTATTCTGTTGTAGTTTACTTTTTTTTTTTGAATATTGTATGAAAGTCGAAAATTATTTGTATACTGTATGAATCGCTGTATGAAATTTGTATTTAC